GAGAACCTTGCTGAGGCACATGCAGAACAAAAAGTGTCTACTGAGAAGGTAGAACGCTGTACCACATCAGTCGATGTCAAATTTGAAGAGGCCCCAGTGGTTTTTGGAATGATTGAGGAAAAAACTTCAACAGAAGTCGTTTCGGAGGAAAAAGCTTCACTAGAAACAAACCCAGAGAAGCCAAAAGCATCTGACGATATCTGCAAAGATGATGAACAAACTCGCATTGTTACTGAGAAACCAATGAAAACGGTCAACGACACCATCCTGATTACAGAAACAGTCACGGTTTCTATCACAGATGAAATCCAACCTCAAAATGAGGAGGTTGCCACAGTCTCTGTGGAAGATGTGCATCATGAAACAGAGGTAACAAAAAGTGAAGTCGAACTTGAGCAAGCAGAGGAGAAAAAGCTTAGTGGGACCACAGAAAGTGAAGAAGGAAAAAGTCAAGTTGAATCACATCCCAAGAAAGTGCCAACAGAAATCCAGCAAGAGACACAAGCTTCAGAGGTTTCAGAAGCCATACCAGAAGAAAAGATGACAGAAACATCTGTTATGGGTGAAAGTCAAGACCAGATTGTGGCTGAGCAGTGTCAAATGGCACAGGAGGTACAGATTGAGACTGCACAGGAATTTAACGTTGGTGTCATAAATGTCATAAATGCAGATGATGTACCTTTTCAAGACAATGAGACAAACATGAAAGAAGAAAGTTCAGAGGGCCAGGAATCAGTAGAAGACAAGCCTCAAAAAGACTTGGAAAAACCTCAAACGGGGGTTTCAACACAGGACACAACAAACCAGGGAGAGTCAAGAGATCCAGACTGTCAAAAGACAGATGCTAAAAATGTACCTGCCAAACTGGAGACTGCTACTGAGAAGACAGCAAATGCCGTTGCAGTGGAGGAGGTGATGGAGGAGGTTGGGAATGAGATCGAGCCAGTCTCCTCAGAGGTTGTCACAGTGCCATGAGCAGGTTAGTCTTTATTAATTTAATGAAACGGATCGTTTTTTTTTTTTTTTTTATAAATGTAAAGCAAAACAGTTATATAAAAAAATATTACAATGTTTCCAAAGGTAGTTTTGTCCATTAAAGAAAGTTCCACATTCCTTATCAGTTTTTACATGGTGCCTTTTTAAAAACCTCAATGGATCTTAGTTTTATTAGGGGTAGATTTCCATTTGGAGAGATGAAAAAGCTTTTGTTCCATGTACTAGTAACCAAGGCACCTTCGATATCAAAGCAGGAATGCCGCTGCCTGACCCTTCACTTTGTATGCTGGGTCTTAAAGGGAAGCCGTGTAAAGAGAGATGAACTTGTGGTGAAAGACCGAGTATAATTCCCCAGCCCTTCCTCGCTTCCACTCATCAAAGCCTTCAATATGTAGTTAGAGAACCAATTCATCTGATAAGATACACTGTATGATCAAATACAACCCTTAGAAGTGTCATATCAGCATATGAGCATAGAGAATAAAACTGCAAGATTAATTTTTTCAATAGCCTTGGAGATTTAAATAGTCTTATACAGTACTTCATTTAGTACTTCATGCCAGTTTCCCAAGAAATTCGTATTATAGAATACTGGCTTATAACATTTGAAGGGTAATACTACATTACAGTAAGTAGATTTACATGTGCAGTTATAATTGAGCTACAGCGAGTTTTTGTGTAGTCAAACTACAGTCTTCATCTGTCCTTTAAATATTTGATTAAAATACATAAACATATACTTGAAGGGTTAAATGCATGTTGCACACTACCTGTCTTTCGGAGGATGTGCACAGTGCTGAGGCCAGTTGTAGTTAGATTAATATTTTTACATGCTTAACGAAGCCAAGCTACACTTGCATTACTAAGTCTGTTAGTATGACTGTGTTTACATGATAGTTTAAAAAGATGAATTATTGTATTAGTATGACTTGTCAAAGGCGTGTAAACATTATCCTCATGACACATATTATGTTTAAAAATGGTTATTCGCATTTGTAATAAAAAATAAATAAATAAAGTACCCTAATGTAAAGCGTGACCAAAAGAAGGAAGGGGATGAGAGAAGAGACCTGGGTGTGTCTGATAAATGTTTGATGAGTGCTAATGCAGCACTGCAGTAGAGCAGAGGCTGGTGAAATATAGCATCACAGCATGAGCGTTGGTGCACTGCTCACTCTCTCTCTCTCTCTCTGACTGCCCCCTTTGCCTTGGTTACTTGTGCTGAGTCATACAAACAGAATGAGACAGCGGTTGGAGGCACAGAAGATACAGTGCAGATGGAAAGAGCCATTCATATGAAATAATGGGTGACAAAGTAACATAATAGGATAGTAGCTTGTCATGCTAATTGATTAAAGAGCTGTGAGAAAAGAAAAGACTGCATATTGCAGTTTTGAAATAGTATTTGAATTAGCATTAGCAGAATTAGCATCGTACATGAGTAAGCTTAAAACGTATTGCAAACAAAATGCTGATGTGCCAGAATTGTACTTTTTTTTTATCACCATTTTCCTTTTTGTCTTGCAGTCTGCATGTAAAAAGCAGTCACATGTCTGGGGCACAGAGCTTTCCGGAAAGCAGGAAGTGAGTGGCAGCCATGGAGGACACTAAGAGACAGTGCTCTGTACCAACTCCCAGAGCAAGAGATTTAAGGCCAATCTCCCTTCTCTCTTTCTCCTTTAATCCATCCATTCATCCCTCTTATCCTTTTTCCAAATTCCCCATAACTCAGCTGCCCCCTACTCCCAATTTCCTGTATTTTGCCAAACTGCATCAGATGCCATTTTCCCCACCTGTAACTTTTTGTGATGAACATTTTCTTTTTTAATTAGTTCTCAGCAGTCTGTCGAATGGAGAGTTTATGTATGTGTGGTTCTTGTATGAGTGTATGTGTGTCTGTAGTGTTGCAGTAGGAGGGTTGTGTTTTGTATATTGTATTTATATCGAAGATATTCTCTCAACCCTCTCAAACATGTTCTAACCTTCTAAAACAACCATTGAAATCATGATGTCATGCTGGTGTAAAACTACAAAATACTTAGACATGTAATTTTAACAAACATGGTACAGATACATCCTCTACAGCTATAGCAAATGAAAAAGTGCATAATATGCTGTGGCTGTAATGTGAAAATTAGGTAAAATTCAGTGAACTCTGAAACACAATATCCAGCCATTATCATCTCCATTCTTACTGTAGATATACCACTTCTTTGTCCCTTACTGTGAAATGTTCTTTTTGTTATGTATATTTATCATGTACAATCACGATGAATGATTTCACCATTAGTGACATTTGAGATTTTAAGAGTCTGATGTTCAATTTGATTTGCTTTTAGTGGTACCCTGTGAAATGATCACGATGATGACAGACACCTGCATGAGTAGGGAACGTTTAGAAAAGGACATTTTATTGTCCTTAACGTACATGTTTGCACTTCACTGTTTAACGGCCTTAGCGAATGCGTGTTTCAACACCAAAAATGCACCTGAGGTTAAAAGAAAATTGTGAGATAATTGTGCGAGGAGAATTGTATTAATGCCATGTATTGGTAAACTCTCCAACACAGGTTACACGTGGTTTTAATTCACAGATATGTGGGTATTCAGTAATATAGTGTAGAATATTTTTGCATTCCTAATCTCTGTATCAAGGACTGTTATTTCTTTGAAAGACGTGGTAGATGCCTTATTGTCAGTCTCTTTGAAATGAGTCTATATTATAGCCATACGTGCAGACAGGATGACAAGGAAAGCATTTGAAAATCAAATGTAAATGAATGACAGTTGTGTATTTGGATGAAGATGGTGGCAAACAGTAAAGGAAAATTTAGTACAAGTAATTTTTTTAAATGAAAATCCATATGCCAAAATTCGAGCAGTCGAAATGTGTACTGGTTAACGTTCAGAAAGTATGCAAATGACAGAGACTGCACAGGGTGCATTAGCTTGAATAACAAAAACAGCTTTGCTACTACTGTCATGCTTTGAATGAACAGCCCACTCACATTCTTTTCTTAGCTTTTTATAATACAGTCTACTGTGAAGCTCCTTTAACATTTGTACAAATTGTATACCTATGTACCTTTAGTCATATTGTAATATTAACAAATAACCAATGAAAGCATTAAGGAATGTTATATACCAGTAGCATGAGCCTCGCCTCTTTTTGTATTCTTCAAGCTGTTAATAGTATGGATTCAAAATCATGTCTATATTTCATTCAAATAAAGCTAGTGTAAAAATCAAGCTTGCCTTCTCATTGCCCTTTGTCCTGTTTGTGTGTATTGCTAAGTGTTGTGGGGATAGCGAAAATGCAAACTAAGAATATATATCTGAATTGGCATAAGATAAATGCTCGTAATATTTAAGCGGAGTTAAAGTTCATTAAATTTTTGCAAATTTTGGTGTAGTGGCACCACATTAAAAACCCAATGGTGCCATCTTGTGGCTCACACAACCAGACTTAAAGCACTGCAGTTTACATTAATGATTTTCAAAAATAAGTAGCGGTGCTATTTTACGCTCAAGGGTTTGGGGTTGATACATTTTTTTAAAGTTACTTGTGGCTTCGCCAAGGCTGCATTTATTTGATAAAAATAATAAAATAGTGAAATATTGCAATTTAAAATAATATTTTTATTAATATTTTTAGTATGATCTACCTTGCTGAACAATAATTAAAAAAAACTTACCCCAAGCTTTTGAACAGTAGTGTATATTAAGGAAATAATGACATTTTAAAAAACATAAGGATTTATTATCATTATTCACAATGAAAACGCAAAGGAAGCATTTTTTCCAGAGACAACTGTTCATGTTCCTGAGGAGCGAGAGATCACAGTATGCTTGCCTTGGCTTTGGGGTTTGTGCGTTTGAGAGGGCACCTTTACCCCTTCCTCCCTAAAACTGCCTCAAAGATTAACAACTTGCATATGTACAAATAATAAAGAGCTGTAACAATACTACAGGAAATAAAAGGCATGACATCGCCTGATGTATGATTACAAATAAGAAAAATTAACATTACAGTTAAAAAAAAAAAAAAAAAATTGTAACAAAATGAAGCAAATGGTCATTCCTGGGCTCTAATTAACTATTCAGTAGTAACTTAACTCACAGTGCTCTTACAATAAATTCCTACAAGGTTGAAAGATGGAAGAAATATTTAGCACTGAATGTAAATCACCCTGGTTGTAAATGACAGAAGTTTCCTGATGTAGCACAAATATACTGATGAAAGTAGTCAGGGATCTTTAGTAGATATCAGTGCTTTTACAGCATGACCTCACTGTCAGTTTCATGAAAATAAAGACAGCCAATGCAGAGATGACAAATATATACACACACACACACACACACACACGTGCTACTACACCATAATAGATAATATTCTACAGTAAATGCATTGAACAATATACCACCTCTGAGATTATAAAATTCTTTGTAAATAAAGCACTGTACATAAAATTAGAAAAGTTATATAAAAAAAAAAAAAAAAAAAAAGGAATTTAAGAGCATATTCAAGCAAATCATTTCATGGCAAAATTAAATCGGCAAACAGTTACAGAAATATCTCCCTTCAAGCAATGTTATACACATGTGTACGATTGGCCACAGTGTTTTCTAAATTCACACACACAGCACAACTGTAAACATGTTGAACCACAATGAGAGCAACACAACCAGATTGCTGATGAGCTGCTGCCGCCGACCAATTTTACAGCAAGGATGTTTATCATTTAGGTGGCATTGGCACAAAAAAAAAAAAAAAGCACTGTAACAAACTGACAATTAGGCAAATATATCGTGGGTCACATGAACAATATAAGTGATGTTCGACAGGTAATCTGGCACTGCATGAAGGTTATCTACAATTACACCTTGCTCTTGCTAACCCAAAGCATGTAATGAGAAATTAGAAACAGCGTCAGAAAGAAAAACTTTGAGATCTGTGTAACTCCTCGGAGGCACTGGAAGATAAAGTTGACTTTGATCCTCGACCCTTTGATGCAAATTTCAGGTAAGTCTGATAATTGCATGTCTGATACCGGTTGAGGTAGTGAATACTCATCCTAAACCAGGACCCACGTTTAGCTGCTCAGAAAATGACATTTTATTTTCAAAAGAAATTTTGGTGCTGTACCCATGAACTAATCATTTTGTGGCTTTAATATTTTAAATACTCCATCGAGTTACCAATCCAACCTAATGAGGTCTACGTCTCATCTGCACGGTGACAAACACAGGATTTCAGCAGTTCACTACATCCTTTTCCTGTAGACCGTTAGGCAGAGGAAGAGCTTTAACCGCAACACAAACTACAAATGACTCGAGTAACCAATAAAACCCTTGAAAGCAATACAGAACGAAGCAGAAATTTGACTTGCTGGAGTAAACCTACTGTAAATCTGTTATAAATATAGTAAATGAATGCATGAGTGTTTAAAAAAAGCAGAAAGTAGAAGTACTTTTCAGTAGAAGTAAAATTCCCAGAAAAAAAGAAACAATATAACAGAATTTCCCATCTGTAGCTTAACTTCTGATCATAATTTACCCACAAATGCAATACAATTAAAAAAAACAATACTCTGAAGTGGATGAATGTGAAGCTATTCCACAAAGACTTCCTCAGTTTTGATGGACGTTATCAACGGCCCACCGTTGGATGAATCCGAGCCTTCGTCTTTGGCCAGGCTGTCACTGTTCAGCCCACTGACGCCCATTTCTCCAGCCGCTGTGCCCGAGAGCACACCCTGGTTGAAGCACAGGTGCTTGATCACCTCATTGGGGCTGGAAAAGGTCATTTCACACACATTGCATTTGTACGGTCTCCCAGAAGAGCTGAGAAACAGCGCCTCCATTTGGCTGGAGTCGTCTGCGGCACACAGCTCCATGCTCTGTCGGTCCACCATGGTGTACGCTGGCTCTGAGCCCAGATTCATGCAAACGTGCCGCGCCGCCTGGTTGGCCCGACAGAAGCTCTTGCCGCAGGCGCTGCAGCGGTACGGCTTTCCCGTATGGATGTACATGTGCTCTCTCCAGTGGCTCTTCTGGATGAACTTGCGGCCACAAGTGGAGCACTCATATTTCCTCCGCTTCACTTCCCGCTCCATGTCAGCCGCACCCTCTAGGTTGTCGATATCAGCGATATCGGACGGCGGCGGTGTGTCCGCCTGGGACTGAGCAGAGCACAGGCTGACTGCAGTTGTTGTTGGGACGGGCATGGCGGTTTCAGGATGTTGCTCGCTGTCACTAGCAGCGTCCACGATGATGGGAGTGGCTGCGGCAGCTTCGCTGCCTCTGAGGACTTCTTCGACCTCTGGCGTAGCGGCACCTCCGGTCGGCATGGGGGAAGCCGCACTGATGGACTCTAACACCAGGGGCAGCATAGCCTGGGTGTGTAGAAGCAGGTGCTCTCGTAAGGCTCCTCGCTGGATGAAGCGGCCCCCGCAGACATGGCACGTATAATGCTTCCTCAAAGAGGAACTTCTTCTCATGATGCTGGGCTTCACATGCAGAATGGTGTTGGCGCTCAGGGAGCAAGACGGGGCTTCACCTGCAGATGTTTCCGTCTCGCCGCCTTCCCTCACAAACTGACTGGTGCTCGCCGATGCTTCTACCTCCGTTTCTGACAGAGCTTGCCTGTGCTTGGATAGAGGCCGCATCAGTGAGGTAGCTTTGTTTGTGGTAACGCACTTCCCATCGAGCAAACCGCTGCCTTCTAAATCGAACGGCGAAGAGAGATGCGTGCTTGCCGAGAGGCGGTTTGTCAGCGTGGCCTGTTGGTCTGATATCTGAATGCCATAAAGAGAGGACGACAGGGGAAGGCTGACCTCAGGATGTGCCTGAGCCGCATGGCTAGCCAGACTTGCCTCCTGAATGAGAGGGTACGCATGGAGGAACTTGACGCCCTGCTCCAGGCGAGCGGGGTCGATAAGCTGCGTCGCCAGTTTTCCGGTGTACATCAGATTGAGGAGGTAGCTGAAGATGTCGGGCTGAATGTCAGCAGGCTTCAAGCGAACACAGTCACTGGTTGAGAGGATAAAGAAACAGATTCAATGTTGAAAACCAATGTTTATTCTATAAAAGTGCTGTAATACCTATTTAGCTTATTAGTTAAGAGCACATTTTATCACAAATTACCCTTCCAAAAAAAAAAAAAAAAAAATTATATACTGCAGTGTCATAATTATTTTCATGACAATTAAACAATTAATTTATGATTTACTTTTAAAAAATATAATATATTCTATACCATGACAGTTAAGCATGATATTGTTGTATGATGATTTACATTTAAAAAAAATAGCCTACTTCATATCGTGACAATTATATCAAATAATGACAATTTTAGACAATATCTTTGAAAAGATATAATAAAATATTTACAAAAATGTGAGGGGTGTACTCACTTCTGTGAGATACTGTGTGTATATATATATATATAAATAAATAAATAAATCTCAATCACTCAATCTTTTGGTATCAATTACAGTGCCCTCCACTAATATTGGCACCCTTGGTAAATATGAGCAAAGGTGGCTGTGAAAATAAATCTGCATTGTTTATCCTTTC